TCAGACAGAGCTCAAGTGAAGGGAGAGGTCCCTTCCACACGCATGATGAACGTTTTGGCAACGCAACCGTGCCGCGTCCCCGGAGCGGTCTCCAGAACGAGTCGATCCTGAAATTAAATCACGTAAAAGCACATAAACAGCCTCCACATGCCAAGGAACACAAACTTTAATAGTCGCCTCGTAAATGTTTACACCTTTGGCCAAAAAAAGAGATAAAAATATACAGCTGCAAGTTTCTGCCCTGTTGGCAAATTCCACAAAGTGTTGTTTGCTAACTTTTCTCCTTTGATAGACTTTCAGTCGGCTAAATAAAGACGGTTTTAGCTGCGCAATGAACATGAACACAACACCTGATTGACAGCTAACAGCGTCTGACCCTGATTTAGGAGGGTTGACATGATGGACCACACCCATTTAATGCCTGAGTGAGCTGAAACACAGAACATCTGGGATTATCTTCCAGCTTTATTGTAAATTAACACAACTCTTCGTGAAGACATGGACCGAATCAGCACTTTCATCTGAAACTGTCTAAAAAAATCTATTTGTGCTGTTTTTTTTTTTTTTATCTGTGCTCCACCCTGTAGGGTGCGTCAGCACTTGGGCCTGTAACTTACATCATCTGTGATGTCATTCTTTGGGCTCCGACTGCAGCAGCATCGAGCACTCAGTCCCACTGAAACCAGCAAACTTTCAGACAAACAAGAAGAACTCCATTTCCTGGGAAATTTACCTGAACAAAGCAGCCAGAAACAGACAAACTGGTTCCTTTTTGTGCACATAAACATGTTGCGGTTCAGTTTGCCGGATGGATGCTGGGATGCAAAATGCAGCTGCATCATTTATGAACGGACTGGTTCTCTGCTCGTCTATTTTTACCCTCCTGGTTGGAGCTTTTTGCAGGGCTCTCTGAAGAGCCGGATCAAATCTCCACTTTCATCTAATATTCATCCAGCTCCTTTCACTCCTTCTTTGAAAACTGTGCACTTCAAACTTTACTTCAGCTTGTTTAAAATAGTTTTAAGAATCAAAATATACAGGTGCTGGTCATAAAATATGAATATCGTGAAAAAGTTGATTTATGTCAGTAATTCCATTCAAAAAGTGAAACGTGCATATTATTTTCATTCATTGCACACAGATTGATATATTTCAAATGTTTATTTATTTTAATGTTGATGATTATAACTGACAACTAATGAAAACCCCAAATTCAGTATCTCAGAAAACTAGAATATTGTGAAAAAGTTCAATATCGAAGACACCTGGTGTCACAGTCGAATCAGCTAATTAACTCAAAACACCTGCAAAGGCATTTAAATGGTCTCAGTCTAGTTCTGTAGGCTACACAATCATGGGGAAGACTGCTGACTTGACAGTTGTCCAAAGGATGACCATTGACAAATTGCACAAGGAGGGCAAGACACAAAAGGTCATTGCTAAATAGGCTGGCTGTTCACAGAGCTCTGTGTCCAAGCACATTAATAGAGAGGTGAAGGGAAGGAAAATATGTTGTGGAAAAAAGTATACAAGCAATATGGATAACTGCACCCTGGAGAGGATTGTGAAACAAAACCCATTCCAAAATGTGGGGGAGATTCATAAAGAGTGGACGGCAGCTGGAGTCAGTGCTTCAAGAACCACCATGCACAGACAAATGCAAGACATGGGATTCAGCTGTCGCATTCCTTGTGTCAAATCACTCTTGAACAAGAGACAGCGTCAGAAACGTCTCACCTGGGCTAAAGATAAAAAGGACTGGACTGCTGCCGAGTGGTCCAAAGTTATGTTCTTTGATTAAAGTAAAATTTGCATTTCCTTTGGTAATCAAGGTCCCAGAGTCTGGAGGAAGAGAGGAGAGGCACAGAATCCACGTTGCTTGAGGTCCAGTGTCAAGTTTCCACAGTCAGTGATGGTTTGTGGTGCCATGTCATCTGCTGGTGTTGGTCCACTGTGTATTCTGAGGTCCAAGGTCAACGCAGCATCTACCAGGAAGTTTTAGAGCACCTCATGCTTCCTGCTGCTGACCAACTTTATGGAGATGCAGATTTCACCTGGTTTAAGGACCATGGTATCCCTGTTCTTAACTGGCCAGCAAACTCACCTGACCTTAACCTCATAAAAAAATCTATGGGGTATTGTGAAGAGGAAGATGCGATATTCCAGACTCAACAATTCAGAAGAGCTTAAGGCCACTATCAGAGCAACCTGGGTTCTCATAACACCTGAGAAGTGCCACAGACTTATCGACTCCATGCCACACCGCATTGCTGCAGTAATCGAGGCAAAAGGAGCCCCAACTAAGTACTGAGTGCTGTACATGCTCATACTTTTCATGTTCATACTTTTCAGTTGGCCAACATTTCTAAAAGTCATTTTTTATTGGTCTTAAGTAATATTCTAATTTTCTGACATAATGAATTTGGGGTTTTCATTAGTGTCAGCTACAATCATCAACATTAAAAGAAATAAACATTTGAAATATATCAGTCTGTGTGTAATGAATGAATATAATATACAAGTTTCACATTTTGAATGGAATTACCAAAATAAATCAACTTTTTTGTGATATTCTAATTTTATGACCAGCACTTGTATTGCAGGCGATTCCCCCATGTCTTTACTCCCTATACCTAAACTCATTTACAAGTGTTTAGGGGAGTTTAAAGTTAGCTTGTCTTTTCTTCCATCTGCAGTTTAAATAAAAAATGGAAGAAAAACCTGAACCTGACACTAAAAACGTGTTTGTCAGGCTGCTGCAGGTTGTTGTGGAATTTCAGGTCAGAACCGGTCCCCAAATCTATAAACACTCGGGTGCACCTGACGAAAAGCAGATAGTGGTCGTGTGTTCGCCTTTTCATGTGCAGCCCATCTTTTGTTTTGTTTTTAATTGTTATCAGGCAGATTCCGCTCCTCTTCCTGTCTCCCACAATGCATTGCTGCCTTTATCAGGCAGGACGACAGAGGAAAAACGGCACAGAGGGATGTGAAAGAGCTCTGCTCCCCCCAACTTCACTCCTTTATCACTGTGTTGCTCCTTTCCTTTCACTCCCCTGAATTCTTTCAATCTGTGGCCTTGAAGGCATTTCACAACCTCTCATGTTCTCCTTTGTCTTCTGGTTTTAATCCTTGGCTGGTGGGAGGAGAACGTGAGTGAAGACGTAAAAAACTAATTATTTGTAGTGCTATTTTTTGGTTTGTTTCTTTTGAAACACTAAATGAACAGATGTTTGGTTCAGTTAAATTCCTACAAGGCGTTTATTTTATTCAGCTATCTCTTTTGACACACCAAACAAACGTTGCTGGTTAAAAAGTTCTGAAATTAAACTTTACATTTACATAAAATCAGTATAAAAACAATAAACTGAAACCTGTCACTTGAGTCAAAGTTTTAAAGGTTTGGACTGGACGGAGGTCTGATTAGCTTGTTGCAGAAGAGCAGTGTCATCGTAATGCATGCAGATAATGGTGACATTATTTTGCTGAAATAAGCAAGACGTTCCCTGACAAAGACATTACCTGGATGGCAGCGCATGCCGTTTTAAAACCAGCACTGAAAAAGACCTTATAGAAGAAGAAATTATTATTAACATGGGGTCATACCATTTGGGAAAAAAGGTAAAATTGGAATTTGAAGTTGTTTTTTTTAAACTTCCGTAATCTCAGATCAAGTTAAACTGGCCCAAAAGCCCTATTTCTAAATCTCATTTACAGTATTTACTTATAAATGTTTGTTTTTTATTTGAATTTCTATTTACTGGTATGATCCACACATTTCAGTTTTTTTATTGTTCATAATTTTATTTTTACTTCCTGAAGTTGAACCATCTGCATTATGGTGTTTTCGTGTTTCCAAACTTTTGATGTCTCAGTCTCACGTTTAAAAAAAAAAGTGTCAATCCAGTCTTTAAAAACAATAAAATCTCCCACTCTTTACATTTTTTAAATTAATCTAAACTTTACATACTGCATTTGCAAAAAGTCCCAATCAGTTTTAGTGCATACATTTTGAAACACTTTTGACAACAAAATTTTCAGGGTTTCTTTATGAACGCCTGCTGAACACAAGTCTCAGTACCATAAATGTTCAATGTTCCTTTTGTTCACTAAAATATTCTGTATTACTAATTAACTTACAGTCCAAAACCAGAAAAGCAACTATTTTAACAACGGAATAACTTTAACTAGTCGTCTCACTTTGTATCTGTACTCTGAAGGGGGTGTTGTGTTACTTTATGAACAGATGAGCTCACTTCAATAAAAAAACTTATTAAATGGGCTCTTTGACAGACGTGGCGTGTCTCTCTGTTTTAAGCCATGTAGGATTACTCTCCTTTGGGCCACATCATATTATAAAGTGTGCAGGTTACTTTGTGCGGGGCCCGGGTCAAGGCCTGCTAAATATTTAGGGAACCAGTACACACCCCTGCTGCCCTCCCAGATTGAGGGAGACGGGACAGAAACAGTTTAAGAAAATAAACTAACGGAGCTTTACAGAGGTTGATGCAGAAGACAGACAGAGCAGTTTAATGGATGCTTGAATTTAGGCAAAAGCTTCAACTTAACTTTATATTCAGTTTTTGTTTGTTTGTTTGTTTGTTTGTTTGAAGCAGGTGCTTGTTTGTTTGTTTTTTGCGAATCCATGTAATAAATTGATATTTTAGAATAAAACAGGAAAAAAAAAAGTAGGGATGTGTGAGTCTGTGTGTGGTTCTTGAAAAGTCCACATAGGTGTTCCCCGAATATTGACAAATGGATTAGTAAAGGATCAGTGCTGGATCACCCAGACTCATGAAGACATCTGCAGACAAGGATTTCTCTCACACACTAAAATGCACTGAAAGCTGACCCCCCACACAAACAAGCTTATATCCTCTGCTGCTGCTTAGGACACAGAGCAAAATCCCAGACACAAACACCCACGCTGACCGCAGGGACGGATACCAAAGTCAAACACAGTAAATAAACAGCGGTGACAGGACACACACACACTCACACACCTTCAGCCAACGTGTTGTCCTCTGAGTGTCCATTCAGACTGGTCAAACTGGAGATCTGTCCATTTTTCTCCAAAAGCTGCAAATAGAAAAAAGAGGCACTAAATACTAATAAATTTGATTTTTTGTTCAGTACAAAAATACAAATAAAATTATATAATTGCAGAAGCATCTACTGTATAGGCTCGAAATATGAGAAAAACAGTAACACTCAAGATAATGCGCTAAACACAATGCTAATATTAGCCAAAAGCTTAGCTTAGCACAATACCTAGTAAAGTGACTGCTAACAAACCCTGCCAGGACTAAGTTCAGCCTTAAGAACGGAGTTGTCACAAATTTATTTATTGTTCTGACTTTTACCTCCATCAATCAATTGTGGAGGCAGTGACACTTTTTTTTGGCTAATTATTGCCTAGCCTAAAAACCCACAAACAACTAGCTAGCAGCAGTTAAAGGCTAAAAATAAAAAATAAAACGACATCTAAAAATTATAAATTAAAATGCTCAAAGTATGTTCTTTTAAAAGTATAACTCTGTAGAAACATTTATTATTTAGGTTGGTGAGCGATATGAAAAATGACACCACTCTCATGTTAATGTGTTAAGAACAACGCTAACATTAGCCAAAAGCTTAGCTTAGCTTTACACAAAACTGAAAAAAAAATTAACAAAAAAACACAAAATTCTTAGTTCACTAGTATATTATTTATGTTTAATTACTTTACCATAAAAACTGGAAACTAGATAAGGATGGTCTAAAGCTCAAATATAACAACATCAAAAATTGCTAAATTAAAAAGTCGCTCGGTCAGAAGTTCAGCGTTTCATGTTGGTCTCACATAACTTATAATATATATAATGTTATACAATGTAAATAGCACACACACACACACACACACACACACACACACACACACACACACAC